TTAATCGGTTAGTTATCATTTGGCTTCATGGCTTGCACACGTAATTCCATAGTTGAAAGTTTCTTTGAATTGGGAAAATTAATTCCACTAGTAGTAATTTAAATAATCAACATTATATTGTTTATCAATGGAATGAATCTGAAAAGAAATAACACTTTTATTACATTAATCTACACTTTTGTAAAGTGCATGTTAATGTCATTAGCTTGCACTTTCTATAACATTATTCTACACTTTGTGCATGCTCCCGTGCACTTTCGTGTAACTAAAAACTATTATGTACATTTTAAATATATAAAGAAGTGCATTATCAATTCATACATTTTAAAATCACAATGATTTTGAATAAATAAATATAAATGTAAAAGAGTGTGAACTAACACTTTTATTACATTAATCAGCACTTTTGTAAAGTGCGTGTTTATATCATTAGCTTTCACTTTCTATTTTGAATATATAAAGAAGTGCATTATAATATCATACTTTCTAATATTATACATTGGCACTTTTTTACAAAATAAAATGCACATTCATCACGTGCATTATAGATATATACAAAAGTGCACTATTATATCGCACTTTCTATAATTCTACATAGACCCTACACTATTTACAAAATAAAATGCACTTTTCTTCCAAATACATCATAATCGCTCTGTATCATGATCTCTTCTTATTGCGCACCACATATGCCGCTTTAAAACTTTGTTATTGGGGACACCGTATATCATTCCTGTCACTTTGATGATTCATTTTGTGAGATGCCTTTCATGATGAATCCATTGGAGTGCACTTAAAATCATAAAAAGTGCATCATATATAATTGTGTTGCTGCAAATAAGAGCATGATAATAAAATGATGATGCATTAATTAATTTGGATCAAATTAAAACATGAACAAAACATGATAAGTGCATCAAAGTACCACATATTCAGGAATAACAAGGGTCAAAAGTGCATTTTTAGAACAATGAATCAATAATCATAAAGTGTATGATATGGGAGTCTGAGTGCATTTTCTAAAAATTAGGTGTAGTATATTAATAACATTATTGTGCATCTCTTAATCCATGTTAGTGTAATTGTATGTCATTTTTTTTTTTGAAAAAAAAAATTAATGTGATTTCAATTGCACTATGATATCATGTGACAATGTGAAATAAAATTTTAATATACAAAAAAGTAGCATAACACATATTCAATACTTGAAAAAAATTGAAGTATATTGTTTAGGGTGTTTACATGGTAAAAGTTGTAGGATAAAGATACATAAAATATTCAGAAAATAAGCATATATTAAAGTTTTTTTTGAAATATATTCAATAAAATTCTGCAATAACTATTGAAAATGAAAAACATTAAATAGCAAATTCCAAATTACATAAAAGTTAGTCTTACTATGAATCCATGGAGAGGAGAATATATCGCCCTGCAATTTTTCTTGCGTGAAAGATAATAAAAGTTGAGATGAAAGAGTGGTAAAGAAATGCAAGTTGTTTAATTTTGTAGTGGAGAATCCGTAAGAGGAGATACAGTAATGAAGGGATGATATTAATTTATGAGATGCTAAAAATTAGGGAATTGGTTCATATTAGGATATCCCGTAGAAGGAAATATTCTTCAAATTACTCATTTAGCCTTAAATGAAATAATCAAATAAATTCAATAATATTGCAATCCAATGGCTTAGAATCATTCTTATTTCTCTCCCAAGATCTCTTTCTCACTTGAACCTAAATCTATATATATATATATATATATATATATATATATATATATATATATATATATATATATAGATTTAAGATCAAATGAGAAAGAGATCTTGGGAGAGAAATAAGAATAAATATCATCCGTTAGATCATGTATTACAAGTCCCATACGATTTCATTTGTTGAAGGCTACTCTCGTCTTTTATATCTTTATTGCCGTTTTTAGTAGCCTGACAATTGGCTTGATTTACTTTCCTTATCAATTTCTTTCTTTATCAATTTTGTACAACAAACAACTTTGTTTGTCCATTCTTTGTTTATTGTGATTGAGTTTTACATCTTCTGAACTATCTTCCTCGTATTGATTCCAGTGAGTAACTACTCTATTAATGTTTTTTCAGCTTTACATCATTATTTCATTTATACACTCATGGATTTCATTTTGGATTTGATTTATACACTTTACTATGAAATTCGTTTTGTGATTTCTAATTAATTTTGGTGCACTACTTAGTTTTATATTCTTGTATATTTATTCATTCATAAAGAGAAGTTCTTACTATTTTTTTTTGAAATTCTCTTTTACTTATTCTTTTATTTGCACAAAATGGCTTATTGCAATGTACTGAACTATTTTATGTAATGCACATTTTGTTTTACAACATTATTTTTTAATATATGTTTATACGTTTAAATCTTTCACATGCTTGCATCAAACTCAAAGTGATGTGATTTTAGTGTTTGTTCAAAAAATCTCACTCATTTGATGCTAATAAATTTGACATTTCACCAGGTTCACCTAAATATTGGACAACTGAGTCTGATGCTGCATTGAAGTTCTATGTTAGAGTGTTGTTCAAAAGTTGGATGATGTGTGATTTTATGCGAAATATTAAAAATTATTTTGGATAAAAGATATTGAAATACCATTATATAGTGCATTTCAAATGTATTTTGGTGCGTAATAATTTCATCATTAATGTTACTTAATATCTCAATGCACTTTAACGTTTAGTTTAATGCACTTCGAGTAAATTACATAGTGCACAAAGCTTTGTGCACTTTCAATATCTTAAAAAGTGCATGATAAATATTTCAATACTTTTAAGCTTACATAAAAAGTGCATATTAATGACATAAAAAGTGCATGCATTTTAATGAGATAAATAGTGCACATTATTCAAATAAAAAGTATTATTTATAAATGTGCATGTTAATGTAACATAAAGCGCACGATATACTACAAGTCTAAAGTATTATTCAAGTCTAATGAAAAATATTTAATAACAAACTTATCAGATGCTCACATACAAGTCACAAGTGTATGATAATTCAATCATAATGTATCAATACTTTTCAGGTAAATTAAAGTGCACATTGTTTAAGTCCATGTATATCCACAATAATGAAAATATTGTTAATTACTTTGAAACAAATTTTACAACAAAAACTAGACGCATTTTATAATTAATTCAACACTACAAAATAAATCTCAAGAAAATATATATAATATTATAGAAAAATGAAAAGAGAACAATTGAAAAGTAAGAAGTTACGATGCTCGTTGTTTATGCACTTATATGTCCATGCATGTTGCACTTTTAATATTATGATGCTCTCCGTATAATATTGATGCATAACAATCTTATGAACAATGCACGTATGTATTAAAATGGAAAATAATCGTGGTTCGTGAATCTTAATACATTAGGAGACTTGCCATAATTGCAATCACTCCTAATTAAAATGGAAAACTTCGAAACCAGCTCCATATGCTTAAGAAGGTAAGTGCACAATTGATTTACGTAAAAGTTCCTATGACGCAAATTGAACGTAATATATTTAATGCAAGTTATTGCTTTCCTTAATTTTTGGAATTTTAATAATTAATTGAATTGCAAAACTCGACCATCAGATTAAAGATCTCAACGGCTCTCCTTCTTTCTCATTTCTCTCCTAGAACATCTTTCTCACCGGAACCGCTCCCTATATATATATACACACACACACACACACACACACACACACACACACACACATATATATAGGGATTGGTTCAAATAAAAAGTGATCCCTATGTGAAAAATAAGAACTAATCTCGGCCTTTGAATTGATAAAATGGATGGACTAGATCAAATTTTAAAGCAAAAACGCGTTGACAATATGGTAAATATGTACAATTTTTATTGTATCCTTTAAAGTAAAAGTGCATCGTTGTATTGAAAAATTGCAATACCAGACAATAAAAGTGTATCGCGCTTCGAAATAAAATAAGAAGTATAAAAATCGATTTGTAACTTTTTTTAATGAGGAAAATGTGCACATTTGCATATCATATATGCACTTTTACTAGTAAGTATTGCACATTTGGGTTTAATATTTCTGAACGTGAATTTTGATCTACACCATTCATTTTTAAGTGATCAAGGGCTGAGATCACTTCTTACTTTTCAAGGAAAGACCCCTTTGTATTAGAACTCACCTATATATATATATATGTGTGTGTGTGTGTGTGTGTGTAGAGAGAGAGAGAGAAGACAGGGTTCTTATGAGAACCCATTTTAAAATAAGAACTTCTAATCTCCATCATTCATTTTTATAATCAATGACAAGGTGGCATTTTTATATATAGTAATGATCTTGTCAGGCCGACCTGGCAGGACTCGCCGTCCAGACGAGGGATTTTGAGCACCTTCCCGGTGGATTTTTTCGATGAAATGTTTTGAACATGTTCTACATAAAGTCTAGTTTATCCATACCAAATTTCAGCTAAAAATTCAATCGGGAAGACAGTCAAATACTATCTAAATTGTTGAAATAAACTGCGTTGTTTATTTATATATACACACATACACACATACACACATACACACATACACACATACATACATACATACATACATACATACATACATACATATACATACATATATATATATAGAGAGAGAGAGAGGAGTATTCATGTGCGTCCGGCTGCACCACAGGGGCCGTCCAGCCGACGACGGCTTTTGGCCACCTTCCCGGTGGAATTTTTTGATGAAACTTTTATGGCATGTTCTTCATCAAGTCTAGTTTATCCACACAAAAATTCAGCTAAAAACTCAACCCGAAAGTTCTTCAAATGATTTTTTGAAGTTGACTGCGCCGTCGGTTGGACGGCCTCTCTGGTGCGGCCGGACGCACCAGAAAACTACTTATTTATATATATATATATATATATATATATATATATATATATATATATATATATATATATATATATATATATATATATATATATAGGGGATGGTTCAAATACAAAGAACTCTCCTAATTATACAGCATGGGTAACATTGTAACAATTCTCCATCGATGGTGATTCTTGATAGTAATAGAAGTGTTCTTATAAGCGAAAAACTCAGATGCGCAATTGTTCTTGGAATGAATTTGGGTAATCGACCAGTGTACGCATCATCGCATTGATCCTTATCTTGATTTCCTGTATCCGAGGCCAGCATCTCCAGTGAGTGCGATTAGTAAATGAAGGTCTTAAAATAGAATTTCCCTTTCGCAAACAACTTACCTTCTTTGGGCCTACAAGTGTCCCATTTGGACAAACACAACTTGCGGAGATTCCGGAGAAGATAGAAAATCATATTTATTATTCACCTAGTCGGCTAGTCCTGCCTGTTATCACCTAATTCATTCAGAACATCGAAATAACCCAACATCCTCAAAATCAGGGCATTCAGTCAATCTAACCACATCAAAATATCAAATGGGTCCCAAGTTCAAAACTGCCCTCATTTTTATGTAGAGATACATCAATGTACAACAGATTTTCGTTTTGGTAACTGGTCACAGATGATTGAATTGCATAACAAAATGATATTGTAGGACCAAATTCAGGGTCGACGGAACTTGGAAGGGTATAGCAAAACTCAAAACTAAAATGGCCTGGCAGCTTCTTCAATCATTTTCTTTAGCCTCAAGAGCTTAGTTATCTCCTTCAGAACCTAATATCATCATAAAAAGGATGGAAAGAAAGTCACCAAGTTTTGTCTCCAAATAGTTATAGTCACTAGTGCGCTTACTTCCAAAAAATAGTAGATGGAGAAAGGGAACACCTCCAAACACAACTCTTCAGTACTTACTGAACACAGATCCTCATATCCCAACCGGGAAGCTACTTCTGCCAAAGAAAAAATGTGTCACATTCTATGGTGTGCATCTTAATTTATAATACTACCTGGGTTATCTACTCAGTGAGTACTAGGCGAGTACTCGCAACTCGGGTACTGACCTTGTTGAGTAGCTACCTAACTCGGTCCGTGTTTTATTTCCGAGCGCCGAGTACTCGGCGAGTTTCTCAACTCGGTGAAGTTTTCAACTCGGCGAGTTTCTCGGTCTAACTCGGCTCCCCCTAAAAAAATTGAAAAATTAAGTTACAAAACCTAGATTGAACGGAATTTCTGACATCTACTATCCCCCTATAGTTGGGACTACAATTTCTCAATAAGTTGTCATCTTTTTTCTCGTATCTTCCCCTCTCCCCTCTCTCGTTTCTTCTTCTTCCACCCTCCCATCCCTCAGTTGATTTTTATTTTAAAGTATCAACACACATATATTTTGATATAAATAATTTTTTTTTCACTAGTATGACTTTATTTATATATTATACTACGTAACGTTTAATTAATATCACTATATTGTTTACTATGGCACATCATTGATTGATACACACTGTCACACATCATTTAATTAACAATCATGAGCTTTGCTCAGTTTGTTGAGACTTCTAATGGAGCTGAATATGCTAATACTACACTTAAGAGAAAATCAGATAATGTGGGATGGACATGGGGAGAGAACAGAGATCTTACGAAATTATGAGATGATTGATTTTTTTTTAAAACCTAGAATGTTTATGACTTTTGGTACTCCATCATTAGCATTTCTATCATTTCATTCATTTCTATGCATTTTAAGATAATTTTAAGACTATTATATTTCTATAATCTCTGGCACTTATGCTATTAAATTTAATTAATACAAGACCGAATAATCACCGAGTAATCCCGAGTAAGCTGTCCTACTCGCTACTCGGTCCTTGACCGAGTTACTACCGAGTAGCGAGTTAACTACCTAGAATACTACTACCCACATCCTAATGAAAAGTGTCATGAATTAAAACTTATTTTTCTCCAAAAAGAGTCTTATTTTAACTAAAAGAGGTTAATATTCATTTAGTTAAAACTTAAAAGTAACTTTCACAATAGAAGTGTCAAATTTAGTTTAATTTACAAAAAGCACTAAGAATATAAGTAGGTTACAAGAGTTCAATCATATCAAGACTAAAGAGTCATGCCATGAAGAAACGTGACTCTTTCTTTAAGGGTTTTGACCTCGATATTACTAAAAATTAGATAAAAAACAAAAAACGACCTTTTTGTTTTATTTCCAAAAATGTGACTAACGTCACAGTTACATCCTCCAGTGACACGTTGCCTCCAGTCTGTCACAGTGACACCTCCACGGTGACATCGACCACAGTGACGCCTTCACAATGACTTCGGTCAGCCACAATGACACCTCCACAGTAACTTTGACAACAATGACACTGCCACAATGACCCCATTAATGCCGGTCACAACCACCGGCCACCAGACCTCAATCGCCTCAACCCCAACCTCCAACCACCACCGCCGTCATAGCCAACACCAACGGTTACCACCATTGTAAGTTGTAACCACAACCACCGACGATCACCACTGTCATAACCACCACCACTGACGAACACCACCACTAACGGTCACCACCAGCAACTCCGATCATCAGTGACCTCCACCACTCCAGTCACCATACTCACCACAAGCACACCCCGCTCCACCCCTGCCACTACCGCTCGCCGGTTCCCTACCGATCCCCATAAACCGGCAGCAACCTCCCTACCACTCGAACCCAACAAGAAACCCTAGCCGCCAGGATCTGGAATCTAACTGTCGGGATATGGAAATCTGCAGATCTAGGAAGGATTTTGAGTGGCGGCGGTCGAGACTCCATCGAAGACGACAATGACGGAGGTGCTCCAAAGCGGTGGGGATCGACAAACTGCCGAAGACGACAACGACGGAGGTGCTCCAAAGCGGCGACAATAGAGTTACATACGAGAAGAAAGGAGGAGAAGAAGAAGATTGGCGGTGGCAGCTCTCTCGGAGAACATGAACTTTGAACAGCTGCGGCTCTGTTGGAGAACACGAACGGCCGTGTGCAGTGGCGTCTGGCTCTGTCACAAAGAGGACCTGGAGCTATAATATATACCCTGCCTCCTGGAGTGCATGTGCGAAGGTGAAGACGATCAAGAGAAGGCAGTTCTCATGAGCAAACAAGTGCTGGGTTGGGCTTTTCAAATATTTTTAATAACTTTTTCAGTTTTTTGTCCAATTACAAATTAGTCATATTTTTGTCTACTCAAACTGTAGAAGTAATATTTGGGCCATTGTTTTTTTTAACTAAGCAAGCATCGATTTTGCAAAGGGACATTAGCTATAAGAACTAAACTCATTGTCCCTCACTTTCATGCAAGTGGATGAAACCTATGATGATGTCGGTTTTGGAATTTCATTTCATTGTTCTTTCTTTAGAAGGAAGGGTATCTAACAAGAAAGTCTGACACTAATTTTTGTAGGAGCTTGTAGTGTTAAAATAGTTCTAAACAATTAATTGATCTGACATTATAAATTTCATTTCTCTGACCTCATAAAAGTTGGATTAAGATGATGATAATGATGATAAGTATATAATAAATAAAACAAAGAATCCTGGCTTACTTGTGAGTGAGACGGTTGCATCAGCTGTTGCATATCCACTCCGCCTTTCTTCCAAAAGGGCAGCCATCTGAGCCAAAACCTGTCGCACAAAAACTGAGATGTTCAAGAACTCCACAAAGTTGATTAATGTTAGTGAGCAATGATGTATTATTAATCTCCTAAATATCAAAGCAAACAAACCAGCATATAATATAACAATGAGTTGTACGCTCTAGACCTCAGAATAAGATTCTCCAGTAATTGAAAGTTCAAATGCAGAGAGTTGAACTTTATCTTCCACAACCTCCCTGGCTACCAACTTTAAAGGAACATCGATCCATATAGATATTCCATGCCTTAAAAGTGCCCTATAATATTGGTCAATTAGGAGTAAATAAAGGAGCAAGTGACCAACCATTCCTTTAGGGTATGTTTGAAACCCTGAAAGTTCTAGGAAAGGAAAAAAATGTTAAGGAAAAATACTTTCTTGTGTTTGGTTTTACCACAGAAAAAGAAGCAAGATTAAAGTTTCTATATTTTCACACTATCTTTAGATTTTATAACACATTTATATGGCAGAAATAAATGAATAAACAAAGAAAAAAACTTGAATAAATCAAAAGAGATTGAACAAATGCTTTATTTTGCCCCCTATTTTCTTTCCATCAAAATATCCCTTATATGTTTCTCTCCATTTTCATTCCCTAGCATTTTCCGTGTCTCCATCGGGTCCGTGAGTAATGAAAAGAAAATGAGCATTAGGGCAGTGCTCATACAGGTTTGTTGAACACCGAACTGCACCACTCCCAGCAGAAACAAGAAGCCGACCCATGGACGACAACTGCCTCAGCACCTCTGTCTGTACAGGATTGTCATCACAGCAATGTGTTAAATTGAGTCTAATTCATGCCAAAAAATCATCAAAAAATTAGGTTTAACTTGCACACATCAGTTAAATTCAGTAAACAACATGTACTTTATAATAAATACACAACCATCAGTTGTCATTGCACCACATGGCGATACAAAGCCTCCTCGCCACAAAAATCCCTCATGGCGATGACTCTACTGATAGAACACTGACAATTTCCAGATTTCTATCTAACAAGATAATCAAGAAACTGAGCTTTCATTTAACTAACAACAGAAAGAATTATAAAAGAGACAGTTTCTGGGCAAGTTCGAGAGTGCCAGAGTTCTCCAAAGTTCTATTTTCTAATTCAATAACAGCCTACCTCTTATTACTCACCCCCCTTTTATACTACTCTAGTACTCCTCTTATTTATTATTATTCTACAAGGGTCCCTATCATATCGCCCCCCCCCCCCCCCCCCCCCCTTAAACAACAACCTTGTCCTCAAGGTGGGTGATAGGAAACAGGCCGGGAAATTAGCTTCATCATGGCAACTCTCCCTTCCCAGTACCTCCCAGATTGCTTGGCCATGATCTTCATTACTTGACCTTTCATCTTCACTTCTTTCACCCTTGGAATTTCACTCCATCCCAGTAATTCCTGCATCTCACTTTGGAGAATTATCCTGGTATTTGGATCAAAAGAAACTTCACCAACAGCGTTGATGTCATCCATTGGTAAAGGCTTCAACAACAGTGTCAGAAGATCTAGTGAACCAGCTACTAAACCTTCAAGCTGTGGTTGTGGTTTAGTCAACACTTGCCTAACATAAGGTAAAATTCGAGAAACCAAAGGTTGGATGCAACCAGGAACTGTTTTCATTGCCTCTAAAACTGTTAGAACATCAATACTAGCAAAAGGGTCTGTGACAAGTGAAGCCCACACATTAAGAATGCTAGGAGAAAGAAGAGACTTCCCGGATGGTAATATTTCTGAGCCTGCCCTGACAACAGCCTGCAGTGTGACAAACACCAGATGCATAGTTTCATCCAATAGGTTGGTGAGTGATGAAATTAAGTCCCTTGTAATTTGGCCACATGACCCCAGAGTATGCATCAGCAAAAACTGTGCAAGTGCTAGACCAATAAATGCCCAAACAGCAATTCCATTTGGCTTCCTGTTTTTGGAAGGTGACTGTCCATTGATCCCAAACTGCTGATCCACTTCCGGCTTCTGCACATACAAGACGTGTTACGACATATGGAAGAAAGCTAGAAGTGTGTTCACGAATGATGTCCAACGGATTTATGACTTTGTTCATAGCCTTGCAACTCTCCAAATGTCCGACCATGACCTTCCATCGTATGTAAATAAGGCACAATTCATTGTTGAAGATGTTAAGGTGATGTTGAGTGAAACTGATCTTTCTAAAGTGCAAACTTTTTTAAAGCGAAAAGCGTCCTAAAGCGACAACCCTGCGCTTTGCTTAAAAGCGAAAGCGCTAAGCAAAGCGTAGCTTTCTCACAAAAAGCGATGCTTAAAAAAATTAAAGAAAATATAAAATATAATGCATAATTATGCCAAAAATGCATTAGTAGTCATAAAAGTCATTCAAAATAATACTAGTGCGGCATAAAGTTTAAAAACCTTCATCACACAATTACGCAAAAACACATAACTAATCATAAAAGTCATAAGAGTAATACTAGTGCGACATATAGATAAAAACATTCATCACATAATGTCATAGTTTCATTAAAAACGGTTCTTAGAATCTTCATCATTCCATCGTCTCATCCTCCTCGTCATCAAATTGGTCTTGTTCTTCTTCACCCCTAACTAAAGTATCAATGTCCTCACAAAAAAAACATAGACAGAGTTATCTTCACATACATATTGTTACTATTCATTGTTGCTCTAACTACCTAAAGGTTAATAGTGGTATTTTTGACAAATTGAGCCATAATGAATTGTCAGCATACTAGTAAAAACATAAATGTTCTTAAATGGGCACTCATTTAAGAATGGAGAGAGTATATGTTGATCAAGGAGTGCCGTAAAATGTATAGGACAAATCAAGCCTCAAGCACATGTCTTATCGTTAAATAAAAATATATGTATGAGTATATATATGTGTATACAATAGTAAGAAACTCTAGCAGCTTTTCCCAATATTATCATGCTCATACCGAACAACAAAACCATTTGGAAACATCTCCAACCACCACATCTAAAAATCATCATTCTCATGATAGAAACCTAAAATCTTGTAAACGGTAAAATTGAAATAGAACCTGCGGTTCTGCGCAGCACCGGCGAAAGTCTGGGACTCTGGGAGAAGTGACCGGAGAACTCTTCACCTGCGACGCGCGACTTGGAAACATCGACGGAGAACCCCTCTTCACGACTTCACCTGCGATTTCTTCAGGTACGTGGCTATGCGTGATTGCGTGGAGTGCGGCTGTCTGAAGTGGGATTTGGGAAAGAGTCGAATGACTCTTACTTACGTGATAGCCCTATAGCTTCCAGACGAGAAGCCTTTTTGTTTAAAAAAAAAATTGAACGGTCAACTTACCTACCGCTTTTTGTGAGAAGCCATGAAAAGCGATCGCTTTTCATTAAGCGAGCTCAATCAAAAGCGCTGGAAAAGCGTGGCTTTCACATGGTGCGGCACTTCTCAAAAGCCATGCGCAACATTGGCGCTTTTCAGCGCTTTTTAACGCTTTTGACAAGTTTGCTAAAGTGTTTGATAAAATTGATAAAATGTGTATGGTGTTTGTTCTCCATAGACTTCATAGGGATTTTGATTTAGTGCGGAACCAAATTCTAACGAATCCAAACATTCCCACTGTTGAAGACCTTATTGATCGACTGTTGCGAGTTCCTGCACCAACTGGAATTGAAAATGTTGGTCCTCACACTGATTCAGAGTTCTCTGCTCTTGTATCTCGTTCTAGCTATGGCGGTCATGGTCATGGTCGTGATAGAGGAGGGCATGGCACTGGTGGCCGACCTAAGTGTAGTCATTGTCAGCGCATGGGTCATACCAAAGATAAATGTTATGAAATTATTGGTTGGCCAAACAATATGTTAATCTAATGCACTCCGAACGTGAAACTTGGGGCAGTCAACTTAAGGCAGCTCAACATTCCTCAGCACCAGTCAACTTTACCGATAATTCTATAGCTTGCCTTTCTCAATCATCACATGTCAACTCGTGGATCATTGGTTCTGGTGCCTCTGACCACATTGTCAGTCATCCTTCTCTTTCCTCAAAGCTATCTCAAACTAAATCAGCGCACCATGTCACCCTTGTTGATGGTTCAAAAGTTAAAGCCATTGGCATTGGACAGGCCACACTTCATCCTTCTTTATCTCTTAATTCTGTTCTTTTGATCCCTGGTTGTCCTTTCAACTTGGTTTCTATCAGTCAACTTACATGTCGTCTTAATTGTGTTGTCACCTTTATTGATGACTCTTGTTGTATATAGGACCGGAGTACGGGACAGATGATTGGAGTAGGATTTGAATCTCAGGATCTTTACTACTTTCAAACTTCCCCTTTAGTTGCTTGCACATGGAGTCTCCTTTGCTTCACCAACATTTAGGTCATCGTAGTCTCAATAAACTGAGGAGAATGGTACCTCAACTTTCCCATTTACAGTCCTTAGCATGTGAGTCGGGTCAAATTGGTAAACATGTGAGAATCTCTTTCCAAAAGAGTCATAATCGTGCAGAATCTCTCTTTTATCTAGTTTACTCAGATGTTTGGTGTCCACGAGTTCTGTTAAGGATTTCGGTACTTTGTTATCTTTGTTGATGATTTTTCAAGATGTATGTGGCTTTATTTAATGAAAGAACGCTCAGAGTTGTTTGGCATTTTCAAAAGTTTCTGTAATGAAATAAAAAATTGGTTTGATCATACCATTCGTGTTCAATAGTGATAATGCCAAGGAACATTTCTCAACAAATTTCAATGAATATATGGCTACTCAAGGGATAATTCATCAACCCGTGTGTCCCCACACGTCTCAGCAAAATGGGATTGCCGAAAGAAAACATCACCATATCATTGAAACAGCACGCACGCTACTGGTTCATGCCAATGCCCCATTAAAATTCTGAGGAGATGCTGTTCTCACAGCCGCTCATTTGATCAACCGAATGCCATCTTCTACATTGGATAACAAAGTGTCGCACTCTATCTTGTTCCCAAATGACCCCATTTTGACATTTTCCTTGTTCCTCCCAAAGTCTATGGTTCTACTTGTTCCGTGCAGGATCTTTCTCCTGGTCTTGATAAATTATCTACACGAGCAATCAAGTGCATATTTCTTTGCTACTCTAGAGTCCAAAAAGGGTACTGTTGCTATTCACCGTCTACTCATCTTTTCTATACTTCTGCATATGTCACTTTCTTTGAGGATCAACCATATTTCACTTCACCAATGGAAGTTGAATCTGTCTCTCAAGTCTTATCCATTCCTCATCTTACTCCATTGTCACCTCTCAGTCCTCCATTGTCTTCTCTCAAACCTCCCATTATCAGCGTCGGCCGCGGTCAGCACCTAATGAGGATGTCCCAAATAATGACCCCGCTGATTCATCTCCAGCTCCAGCTCCTTTACCAACTGATCTTCCAATTGCGACTGCAAAAAGTATACGTTCCACTCGAAACGCGCATCCTATTTACAATTGTCTAAGTTATCATCGTCTATCTCCTTACCATTATGCTTTGTGTCTTCCATCTCTTCCGTTTCCATTCCTAAAACTGTCCAGGAAGCTCTTGCACGCACGTCCAGGATGGCATCAAGCTATGCTTGATGAGATGGCTGCCCTTGAAATTAACCGTACTTGGTCTCTTGTTCCCTTGCCCCATGAGAAATCTATTGTTGGCTGCCGTTGGGTGTTTACAATCATAGTTGGTCCTGATGGACAAGTTGACCGGGTGAAAGCACGTTTGATTGCTAAAGGGTTTACTCAAGTTTTTGGCTTGGATTATGGTG